TGCTTTGGCTCTGGTGAACTTGTTCTATTTTTTTTCAGCTTCAACTTGAACTTACATGTGGGCAATTGATGGTCTGTTCCGCAGTCAGCCACTGGCCTTGTTTTGACTTATGATATTGAGCTTTTCCATCATTTCTTTTCACAGATGTAGTCGATTTGATTCCTGTGTATTCCATCTGGCAAGGTCTACTTGTATAGTCGCTGTTTATGTTCTTAAAAAAAGTTATCTGCAATGAAGAAATCGATCTTGCAAAATTCTATCATGCAATCTCTGGCATCATTTTTATCACCAGTGCCAAATTTTGCAGCTGCTGATCCTTCTTCTTTGTGTCCAACTTTTGCATTCCAGTCACCAGTACTTACCAGTGCATCCTGATTGCGTGTTTGATCAATTTCAGAGTGCAGGAGTTGGTAAAAATCTTCAGTTTCTTCATCTTTGGCCTTAGTGGCTGGTGCATAAATTTGAATAATAGTTGTGTTAATTGGTCTTCCTTGTAGGTGTATGGATATTATCCTATCATTAACAGCATTGTAGTTCAGGGTAGATCTTGAAATATTCTTTTTGACGATGAATGTGATGCCATTCCTTATCCATTTGTCATTCCCAGCATAGTAGACTTTGTGATTGTCTGATTCAAATTGGCCAATACCAGTCCATTTCAGCTCACTAAAGCCTAGGATATCAATGTTTATGTCTTCCATTTCATTGACAAGTTCCTGTTTTCCTAGATTCATACTTCGTACATTCCATGTTCTGATTATTAATGGATGTTTGCAGCTGTTTCTTCTCGTTTTGAGTCATGCCACATCAACAAATGAAGTTCCCTAAGCTTGAGTCCATCCATGTCATTAAGGTCAACTCTACTTTGAGGCAACAGCTCTTCCTCACTTGTATTTTGAGTGCCTTCCAACCTGAGGCGCTCATCTTCCAGCACTATATCAGACAGTGTTCCCGTTATTCATAAGGTTTTCACTGGCCAGTTTTTTTCAGAAGTAGCCAGCAGGTCCTTCTTCTTAGTCTGTCTTATTCTGGAAGCTCACCTGAAACCTGTACACCACGGGTGACCCTGCTGGTATTTGAATACTGGTTATATAGCTTCCATCGTCATAGCAACACACAAGCCCCCACAATACAACAAACTGACAGACATGGAGGAATTAGGTAATTAGTTTATTTTTAAAAAGTAAGTTCTTATAGAGTTGATTGTGAGTCATGGTTACACCATGTGTTTCAGAGTAGAACTACACTCTGTAAGGTTTTCAGTGGCTGATTTTTTGGGAAGTATATCACCAGACCTTCATAGGTGTCTGTGGTAGACTCAATCCACCAACCTTTCAGTTAGTGTCAGAGCACTTAACCCTTTGTGCCACTCAGGGACTCCATTTAGTTGGCATTGCTCCACATTTGGAAGTGTATGTGCTCTCTGTCACTGCCCTTCATTACTTGTTGTGTCATGAATCAACTTTATTGGTGGGCCTTTTCCAGGGCTGTTTGTTTTTTTCCATTGGTGTATTCCTATCCTAATACCGTAGGGTTGCTATGAGTCGGAATCGACTGAACGGCAACGGGTTTTTTTTTTTTTTTGGTTCATACTGATACTGTGTTGTCTCATGTATTACAGCTTTATTTAGAAAAAGTAAATACATAAAAGTATAGTTATACATGTGACATGTTCGGACAAGCCCCCATGCCTTTTTCCTTAGAACATGTTGACAATCTGGGCATTTGCACTTCCAAATACATTTGTGTGTGTGTGTGTGTGTGTGTGTGTGTGTGTGTGGTGAAGTCCTAAAAATAAATGGCTTGGAATTTTGTAGAAGTGCATTTGAAATAACAATATACCTGGGGAAAACAGTTTTCTAAGAGCGTGCTCTGCCTTTTCATTTATTTTTGTCTATTTGGATGTGATTTAATAGTATGTTGTAATTTTTTCATTAGAATGTTTAATTACGTTCTTTTTACATACTTTTTAATTTTATTAAAATATATGTTAGCTTTTAAAAGTTAATTTCTAAGTGCTTGGTACTAGTGTATAGAACTGAAATATTTAAAGTAAACCTTTCTTTTTTTGTAATCTGAATACCTGCTAAAATCTCGCAATTCTGTTATCACATATACCATCTCTTGGGATTGTAAATAAACAATTATTTAATCTTTAAAACGTGATTGTGCCCCTCTCTCTCCCCCTCATTTAATATTCTTATTTCTTCGTGTTTCTTTCTTTCTTGTTCTTTTTTGGCATTTACCAACTACAACCTTTAGGACAATGTTGAATCAGAATGGAATAATGAGTATAATTGTTTTCTGTTCAATTTTACTGGGAGAGTGAGGAATTTTTCTGTATGTATGTAGTTTGGAGTACAGGCATACCTCGTTTTATTGTGCTTTGCTTTATTGCACTTCACAGATACTGTGTTTTTTACAAATTGAAGGTTCGTGGCAACCTTGCGTTGAGCAAGTCTACCAGTGCCATTTTTCCGATAGCATATGCTCACTTCGTGTCTTTGTTGTATTTTGGTAATTCTCGCAATATTTCAGGTTTTTTCATTATTATTATATCCGTTATGGTGTTCTTTGATCAGTGTTCTTTGATATATTACTATTGTATTTGTTTTGGGGCACCATGAATTGTGACCACAGATGATGGCAAACTTACATGATAAATGTAGTGTGTTTTCTGACTGCTCCACCGCCCGACTATTGCCCCATCTCTTTCCCTCTTCTCAGGCCTCCCTATTGCGTGAGATATGACAATATTGAAATTAGGCCAGTTAGTAACCCTACACTGGCTTCTGGGTGTTCAAGTGAAAGGAAGAGTTGCAGGTTTCTCATTTTAAATCAAAAGCTAGAAATGATTGAGCTTAGTAAGGAAGGCATGTTGAAAGCCGAGATAGGCCAAAAACTAGGCCTTTTCACAGAACAACCAAGTTGTGAATGTGAAGGAAAATTTCTTGAAGGAGGTTAAAAGTGCTATTGCAGTGAACACACAGATGATGAGAAAGCAAAACAGTGTAATTGCTGATATAGAGAAAGTTTTAGTGGTCTGGATAGAAGATCAAACCACCCACAACATTCCCTTAAGCCAGAGTCTAATTCAGAGCAGCGCCCTAGCTCTCTCCAATCCTGTGAAGACTGAGAGAAGTCAGGAAGCTGCAGAAGAAAAGTTTGAAGCTAGCAGAGGTTGGTTTTTGAGGTTTAGGGAAAGAAGCTGTCTCCATAACATCAAAGTGCAAGGTGACGCAGCAAGTTCTGATGCAGGAGCTGCAGCAAGTTATCCAGAAAATCTAGCTAATTGATGAAGGTGGCTACAGTAGAGAACAGGTTTTCAACGTACTCAAAACAGGCTTACGTTGGAAGAAGATGCCATCTAGGACTTTCATAGCTAAAGAAGAGGAGCCAATACCTGGCTTCAAAGCTTCAAAGGACAGGCTGACTCTCTTGTTAGGGATTAATGCAGCTAGTGGCTTTAAGTTGAAGCTAATGCTCATTTACCATTCGGAAAATCCTGGCACCCTTAAGAATTAAGCTAAATCTGCTCTGCATATGCTCCATAAACAGAAAAACACCGTTATGACAGCACATCTGTTTACAACATGGTTTACTGAATATTTTAAGCCCACTGTTGTGACCTACTGCTCAGAAGATAAGGTTCCTTTCAAAATATTACTATTCATTGACAATGGTGACCCAAGAGCTCTGCAGCCCATGGATCAAGGAGTAATTTGGACTTTCAATTCTTAAATTACATTTTGTGAGGCTATAGCTGTCATAGATAGTGATTCCTCTGATGGATCTGGGCAAAGTAAATTGAAAATTTTCTGGAAAAGATTCACCATCCTAGATGTCATTAAAAACATTCATGATTTGTGGGAGGAGATCAAAATATCCACATTAACAGGAATTTGAAAGAAGTTGATTTCAGCCCTCATGGATGACTTTGAGGGGTTTAAGAGAAAGTAACTGTACATGTGGTGGAAATAGAGAACTAGAATTAGAAGTGTAACCTGAAGATGTGACTGATTTGCTCCAATTTCATGTTAAAATTTTAACAGATACAGAGTTGCTTCTTATGGATGAGCAAAGGTGACCTCTTGAGATGGAATCTACTCCTGGTGATTCTGTGAACATTTTTGAAATGACAACAAAGGATTTAGAGTATGACGTAAACATTTGCCAATTCGAGGTTTACGTGTGTAACTTGGTAACACTAATTACATTCATGTGCAGTCGTTACAAAATGAGAATTGTAACGTCTTCTTAGTTACCAAACACAAGGGCATGCTTTTCTTGTTTCTGCAGAGGTAGTGATTTTCGTTGTCTTATAATATTAGACTGTGTGTGTGAAGTGTATGGATCTATGTTTTGTTTGTTGAGGGGAACAGGCACTAATAATTGGTGTACATTTGTATCAGGTCTCAAAATTTGAGACTTATGGGGAGATCTGTATTCTATGTTTCCTGTCTCTCACCTGAGCTTTTTTAATTACCTTTGCTTGTCCCTATGAAAGGAACAGGGAGGATGACAGAATAATTGATTTAAAAAATAGGTGACATGTAAAAATTACTAATTCTCGAAAAGATTATTCTTTTTTCCGCATGTGGATCTATCATCTCCTGATCTCCTAGAGTTATTCAAGGAATTATGACCAGCTCAGTGCCTTGGGTTTTCAGTTTGTGTGGGCCCCTGGTCCTCTCATGGCTGTGAGGGGCAAAAGTGGACACTGCCCTTCTACAGTGTTTCCCAGTTGTTAATACCTCATCTTTCCTTCACCCTGTGCTTTGTTTTGTTGAGTCTTCTGCTGGGTCTTATGGAAGGAAGTGAAAGTGTTCAAAAGGAAGTGATGATCTGAATTAGAGCAATTCTCTAATTTCTATGTTTTTTAACTGTTGTAGACCATAAACAGAGAAATAAGACTGCAATAGGTCACAGTCAAACTGTAGAGATATTATTTCAGTGTGTTGGAAGTCTATGAGACAGGATGCAATCAGTGAGGAAGTGAATGTAGTTAGCGTAGGGATGAGGCTGATGGCTATACCCTAGAGTAGACCTTGGTAGAACACAGAACCTTGAGTCAAATCCCGTGAATTCTCAGTTCCCCAGAACGGTCAGCCTCACCTTTCATTCTTGTACACATTGGAGTATATCGTGCTTTGCTGATCCAGAATGTGTGGGATGTTTTAGGACTCAGTGGTCATTGAGGATGTGGCTGTGGTCTTTAGCCAGGAAGAGTGGGCTTTGCTGGATCTTGCTCAGAGGAAGCTCTACAGAGATGTGATGATGGAAACCTTCAGAAACCTGGCCTCTGTAGGTAAGATTGGTATCAGTTTTTTAAAAAAATTTATTCCTTCAGTGAACAAAAATATTTTACTGATTGAGTTTGCTCCAGTATTTGGGCTGAGGAATGGGAATAAATTGTTAAACAAAACAGGCCTATTTCCTTGGTGTATGGCTCTTACAAATCCTGGCTTCCCCATGGACGTAAAGCTCTGTGTATTAAAGTAAGTTTTCATTTCATTTCTCTTGTGATTAAAACCTTTGAGGCTCTTTAAGTGTCATAAGTATTGGCTTCAGGGGTCCCTTTGGGCTTCTGAGAAATGTGTGTTTTGGGATCTTACAGAGAGTTTTACTGGGTTTATTACAAGTTTGACATGATTGTTTTGCAGCAGATAAGCTCACACCTGCCCATCTTCAGAGACACTGAAGAGCAAAGTATTAGCTCGCTGTCAGGGAAATGTTCATTGCTCTGCACTGTCTTCGCTCACGGTATTCATTTCTCTGAGCACCATGTCAGCTATACCCATTTATTTTGCCAGAGAAGAAAGGACAGTGGAGATGGGACCAGCCCTTCATGGAGGGAATTATATTGAATCAGGTAGAAAAAGTCTCTGTTGGATTGAGGACACAACGTCACAGACCTGAGCTTTCCTTCCTGACTTTAGCAATCCTCTCACACTTGGGTTATGGAGTCCCTTTTTCTCTTTTAACGTTACATGTGTATGGTGTCCAGTATCTTTCTAGTTAGCTCTCCTAAATACACCTATTTGTGTCAACATCACTGTCAATCCTCATGGATATATTTCATAGCAAATTGCTTTTTAACTATTGTCAAAGTGCTGAAACAATGAAATGTGTTTAAGTCTTTGTTCATAGCAGCTTTTTTATTTTTCCTAATAATTCTCTTTCTTTTTGTTTTATACTGTGAACCTCGACTTGAATTATTGAGTCAGTCTCTCAAAACCTTAATGATGGAGAAATGTTGTTCAATGAGCATGTAATGGTGCGATTCATGAAGAACACCTGGTCCTCCATATTAGAAGAAAACTCTGAATCGTGTGGCAATCAAGATCAGCATAAAAACCAGAAGGGATGTATGAGGTGAGTGTCAATCAAACAAGAGAAAACAGTATCTCAGGAGAAAGTCCTAAGGTGTCCTGATGTCATATATGTACACGTATACTTAATTTGTATATATATATATATAATGGTAAAGGAGAGGGTCACCAAAAATCAGGAAGACACTCAACAAGATGGATTGATACTGTGGCTACAATTGGCTCAAACATAGCAATGAGTTTGAGGATGGCGCAGGACCAGGCAGTGTTTCATTCTGTTGTACATGGGGTCACTATGAGTCTAAACTGACTTGACAGCACCTAACAACAATATATATATCCACCTAGCTGTAAAATTATGTGTTCAGAGAATTTTCACAATATAACGTTCTCATAAATTTGAGTCAGATATTGAATATTTGAAACATTTCACTTGGACGTAATTATCAGAACGCCACATATTTTAGAAAAACAGTGACAGTAATGGTAGTATTTCTGCTAGATGATTTAATCTAAGAAACAAAAGATAAGTCAGGGCAAAAACTGCACTTTCACTGTGTGTGTTAATGATGAAATGGGGACAAATTTATTTTCAACAGCATGTTGCCTATTTTCAGCAGAAGTCATACAGTGGAGAACCTCTGTGAAAATAATAAAGGCAGTCAGCCTGTGAAAACCTTCAGCTGGATTCCATATCAAACTGTGCTAAAGATCAGTCCTCAAGAGGTGAATCCCTTTGAATGCTGTGAGTGTGGAAAAGCCTTCATGGATCACTCATCACATAACCATCAGGCCAGATCTCACACTGGATGCAATACCTGTCACTCTAAGGAATGTGGAGAAGCGTGCAATTGTCCCCCTCACCTAGCCACTCCTCTAAGAACTCTTACTGGAAATAAACTCCATAAGTGTAAGGTATGTGGGAAGGGCTTAATTTGTATCTCAGCCTTTAAGAATCCCGTGACAACACTCACTGGTGACAAACGATATGAATGTAGTGAATGTGGGAAAGATTTCTGTAGTTTATCATCCTTTTGGACACATGTGAGAGATCATAGGCGTGAATGTAAAGAATGTTATAAAACAGTTACTCATCTTTCATCCCTTATTTTACATAAAAAATTTCATAATAGAGATAAGCCTTATGAATGCAAGGAATGTGAGAAAGCATTTAGTGAGGCTTCATCCCTCACTCAACGTGTAAGAACTAACAGTGGAGAGAGGCCTTATGAATGGATAGAGTGTGGGAAAGCCTTTAGTCAGTCATCACATCTCACTACACATATAAGAACTCACGATGGGCAGAGGCCTTATGAGTGTAAGGAATGTGAGAAAGCCTTTAGTCAGGCCTCATCCCTTTGTCAACATAGGACTCACACTGGAATGAGGCCTTTTAAATGTAAGGAATGTGGGAAAGACTTTACATGTTCCTCATATCTCACTAAACATATAAGAACTCACAGTGGAGAGAGGCCTTATGAATGTAAGCAGTGTGGGAAAACCTTTATTTATTCCCATTACCTCACCGAACACATAAGAACTCACACTGGAGAGAAACCTTATAAATGTAATCAATGTGGGAAAGCTTTTAGTCAGTCATCACACCTCACTACGCATAGAAGAATTCACAGTGGAGAGAGGCCTTATGAATGTAAGGAATGTGGAAAAGGCTTTAGGTGTTCTTCAGTCCTCACTACCCATCTAAGAACTCACACTGGAGAGAGACCCTATGAATGTAAGGAATGTGGGAAATCGTTTAGTTATTCCTCAGATCTCCCTAGACATATGAGAACTCACAGCGTAGAGAGACCTTATGAATGTAAGGAATGTGGGAAAACCTTTACTCATTCCGCATATCTCTCTGAACACATAAGAACTCACAGTGGAGAGAGACCTTTTGAATGTAAGACATGTGGGAAAGCGTTCAGTTATTCCTCACATCTCCGTAAACATATAACAAGTCACAGTGGAGAAAGACCTTATGAATGTAAGGAATGTGGGAAAACTTTTACTCATTCCTCCTATCTCTCTGAACACATAAAAACTCACAGTGGAGAGAGGCCTTTTGAATGTAAGGAATGTGGGAAAACCTTTAGGTATTCCTCACACCTCACTAGACATATAACAATTCACAGTGGAGAAAGACCTTATGAGTGTAAAGAATGTGGGAAAACCTTTAGTCATTCCTCCTATCTCTCTGGACACGTAAGAACTCACAGTGGAAAGACTACTCTATGTCAAAAGTGGGATGTTTCATCCTTACTGCTACAATTTCAAACAGCAAATTGCCAAAAGTCTGTGATTAAACAGCAGTTTCTCAGTGAGTAAGAAAACAGTATGAAGTCAAAGGGTTATTAGAGCTACTTTGTGTTTTTGAGAGAAATGACAGTTTCATTGTGACTGCTGTGCTGTCCTCATCAGTGTCTGTTACGTTCTTAGTCTAAACTAAATTTTACCTTCCTTAAAATCTTCAGTTATTACAAATAAGGCTGCAGGGAATAATCTTGAACACATCTGATTTTATACTTCTTAATGTTTTATTGATATTATTTTGCATACAATAAAATACACTGATCTTGTATTTAGTTTAAGAGTGTTTTCTTTCCTTGTTTATCCCATTTCCTTACATTCTTAACTATTTGAAATTTAACTGTTTTACTGCTTATAATTAGTTTTTTATAGGCCAATATTTTGATACTACAAATACTGTTTTTTGTGGTACTTTGGCATACTAATTTTAGTACAATTGATAATTACAACCTTTGAGTATTTTTACTGTTGTGATTACCAAATGGTATTTTCTGTTCCAATTATTTCTTCTATGTTTATTAATTGGAATTCTACAAGGAGTAGCTTTACCTTTTTTCCCCTTTTTTATTTATTGTTTGTATTAGTTTAGACTAATCATATTATTATGTTTTTTTTTTTTTTCCTAGCTCAAATCATCACAGATTTGGCTATTATGAATTCCCTTGGGTAGGTTCTGGAGCCCTGGTGGCGAGTTCGGCCTCTAACCAAAAGGTCGGCAGTTCAAATCCACCAGCCACCCCTTGGAAACCCTATGGGCCAGTTCTGCTCTGTCCTGTAGGGTCTCTCTGAATTGTAATCAACTTGAAAGCAACAGGTTTTTTTTTTTTTTAAGTAGGTTCCTGTATTTTTTGACATGTTGTTAGGTGCTGTTGAGTCAGTTCCGACTCATAGTGACCCTATGTACAACATAACAAAACACTGCCTAGTCCTGTGCCATCGTTACAATCATTACTATGGTTGAGCCCATTGTTGCAGCCACTGTGTCAATCCATCTAGTTAAGGGTCTTCCTCTTTTTTGCGGACCCTCTACTTTCCCAAGCAGAATGTCCTCCACGGACTGATCCCTCCTGCTGGTATGTCCAAAGTGTGTGAGACATAGTCATGTCATTCTTCTAAGGACCATTCTGGTACTTCTAAGATTTGTTTGTTGTTTTGGCAGTCCATGGTATATTCAGTATTCTTTACCAACACCACAATGCAAAGGCGTCAGTTCTTCTTTGGTCTTATTCATTGTCCAAATCATTGGATATATGACATTGTTATATTCATGATGTCTGAAAGTAGTAGAATCAGGAGGGCCCTGAGAAGGAAGAAATGGAAGAACTGCAGGACTGTAGATTTTATTTAATCAAGGAATAGATGTGGGTCAAGCTCTAGGGAAGTGAACAGATATTTTGAAAAGAGAATCATTGATTTCAGAGGCACAGAGCACTTCTTGATGACCACAGATCCATGGAATCTGTTATGTGAAGTGGAGTAGAGAGACAAATCCTCAGCAGTGAGGTCAATCAAACTAGAAGCCAAAGTAGTAGATAAAAATTCATGCACTTAAGCCCCTAAAAGTGACACAGAATTTAGGAAGCAGGGTAAGGATGAGTCAGCTTCCAAAGTCATTAGTCAAGTAGATGACTGGGAAGTGGGCATACAACAGTAATGAGGATGGAGAGAAGCTGATGTAGTCAGAAGGCAGTAACAGGAACAAGGGATTTTACGTGAGAGTGGAGAAAGGTCAATCCCCAACTGATACTGGGGATTGAGAACAATTCTGATCTCACTCCTGGAATCAGAGGTACAAAAGATGTGAAATGAAAAAGTGTTGAATAGATTTTTGAAAATCTAGAAATGACCTGAAGAAAGACTTTCACACAAAATAGATTGTCCACAAACGAGAGCTCGGAATTACTAGAGGAGATTTTGCCTACTTCAACCCATCTTACCAGAGTTCTTTATCCCCTTTTGCTTACCATCCCTTCAGTGTTTTCCAACTTTGATAGCTCTGCTCTAGTCTTTTTTTGTACCTATCTTTTAAGTTTGTGAAATCTATCCCCTGCTGTGTATCGAATGATATTAAACCCATTTATCCCTTCTAAATTTGTAATTATATGTTCCAATACAGAATTTCTGACTAGTTCCTTTCAGATCTACAGTGTTCTTTGTTATTTCCGGTTTCTGCCTTTTAGCCTCATGATTATGGTCAGCATAGGTACTATATATTTGTGTGTCTGTTTCTCTTACCTATGCTGGTTCATTCCCTGTGTGCCTGATAATTTGGTTTCTATAATAAACATTGTATTGATTAGGTTTTCTTATTTTTTTGAAGTTTTTAACATATACTAAGAAAATACAAGAATTATTCATGTATTTGTAGTCAAGAATGAACAGCTGTCAGTATGGTAGATGTTTTAGTTAAAGACATAATGAAAGATGTAATTAATTTTTTTCTTTCAAAGAGGTTTTTTTTTTTTTTTTTTTTTTTGCTATGCCAGGTGTTTGAATTTGCCACCAATCTCAGAAACCTTAAAGCATTCAGAGCTTGAGATCCGCATTTGGATGGCTCACAGCCAAGCCTCCAAGTCCTTGTGTTGTATTGCTATGACTCCCACTTCTGAGAAGCCTGAGCTCCAAGTTGTGCCCCTACATCTGAACCCTGTTTACATAGTTTTCTAATTGAGTCAGCCTCATATTGGTAAAGTTAATCTGAAATTCTTAGCTTCTTTCTCTCTAATTCCCCATTCTTCTGAATTGTGTCCAGCAATTCCTCAGTATCTCATTTTTTGATACCCTTAGGAAGGCGTATCTTATTTCATCCAGACTTTTTAGGTGTTTTCACTGGAAGACTTGTTTCCAACTACTGAAAGTAGAAGTCTCATTTGTTCTTTGAGCATTTATTACAATTTAGCGTGTCTATCTATAGTTATGTTTTTATTGCTGTCTCGGATGGATGGATGGATGGATGTTGTATGCCATGAGACTTCCAGTTGATTAATTCATAACGACCCTATAGAACAGAGTAGAACTGCTCCAAAGGGTTTCCAAAGCTGTAATCTTTACGGAAGCTGACTGCCACATCATCTTTCTCTTTACAGAAGCAGACTGCCACATCTTTCTCCCACAGACCAGCTGGTGGGTTTGAACCACTGACCTTTTGGTTAGCAGTCAAGCTTTTAACCACTTTGTTTCTCAGACTTACCTGTGGAGATTAATTCAAGGAGAAATAGACAAGACTATTTTGATACAAAAGAAGGCTAATAAAAATGTATGGCAGTGCAGTGTGTCTTGGGGTGGGGCCCAGGCCAGTGATGAGGTACTGAGCCATTTCTTAGTTGGCAGGAGTGGGGCTAGATGTTTCCTGGTGGTTTGCTGTCCGTTGGCTGCTAAGTTATCCTGAGTCCTATTCCTGGTGATCTCCCTCCACTGCTCATGCCTCCGTTGTTAGAGCTACCCAATGTCTGTCTCCAGGGGTGCATACTCCATCCCTCCTGCCCTCTGCCTGTGAGTTCCCCTGGGCCAGTCTGCACCACTTTACTCTGGCTGTGTTTTCCTGGGGTTCCAGGATTCAAATCGGTGCTATACTCCTGTGCTACTCTCAGGTCTGCCTGGTCCGTGTACATGTTTTGCCCACCTTGTTGCTCCTTCCAGGCCTCAGTTTGAGTCCTCTGTTTTGCTCCCAACCTGGGATTTTGGTAATTATGAATAAAGCTACTGGAACCTGTGGCTATCTCAAAATGGCCACATTGAACTGGGCGGTGAGTAGAGTGTGGACGGTCTGCAAATCTCCACCTTCTTACAGTTCCTGCTTCCCCTCTCCCCTAATTTGGTACTCAGCCTGTTTCCCCAATCCTTCACTTGGTGTCCAGAGTTCTGAGATCACTGGTTATGCAGGTTTTTACTTGTTTTCTTTGTCATTGTGGGAGATCATGAGCGTGCTACTGTCTGCCCTTATCTTGCCCCTCTTCCTCCTAACTTCTGTTTTGAATGCTGCAGATAGATTGTAGAAAAAAATGGAAAGGTGAAGGAAAGAAAGGCTCATTTTTAACAAAGTGTTTTCATAGTACGTGTTCCCTCAGGTCCAGTCATTTGGTGGGTGTATCTAGGCTAAGCTCATTCACATATTTAAACTGACATGACAGTTTTTTCACTACACACACAAGTAGGGTATTTATTCCTTTCTAATAAGAAAGTCTACTTTGGAAATAAAATCCATTCTCGACAGTGACTTAAAGCAGGGTTCAGCAACGTTTTTGTAAAAGGGTATAGTAAACATTTTAGGCTTTGCAGCTTACATATACACCTGTGGAAAGACTTAAGTGTGCCATCATAGTGCAAAAGCAGCTGTAGACAGTATGTACATGAATGGTTGTGGCCATGTTCCAGTAACACGGTATTTACAAAAGCAGCTGGTGGGCAGATTTGGCCTGGGGCTGTGTAGTGTACTGACCCCTGACTTAGTAGATTCAGGTATAGGGAACAGGCAAATCATAGAGGACACTATAAAATTAATAGAAGAAATCACATGCAGCTTCCTTTCTGCTAGTGGGACTCACCTAATAGAAGTTTCAAGATGACTATGTCACTCAGGCTCTGCCCATGTCCTTGGCCAATACTGATGTAACTGTCAGACTCTCCATCATCCTGACCTCCCCCTATACCAACCTACCTCATTTAAAAAAAATTGCCTTCGAGTCAACTCAGACTCATGGCAGGCATTGAGTTTCTTCTGTTTATCATGATGGAAAATTTGACAACAGACGTTGGTGATGGTTGCACAACATGGTTAATGTAATTGATGTTACTAAATTGTACACGTGAAAAACATTAAAGTGGCAAATGTGTTATATATATATTTACAACAACAATAAAGAAACAATTTCAGGGTAGTGCAGAGAACTGAACTGTGAACTGTTGTTTTTTTATGTTCCATGTATTTCATTATTCTTATTGTCTTTTATATTTGGCAAAGGAAATACATACCATGATAAAAAGTATATATATTCAAATAGTACAGGGTATACACTGAAAAGTCTCTCCTCAATCATCCTCCCCAGAGGAATCATTGTCATCATTTTCTTGTGTGTCCAGAGATATTCTGTGCATAGACAAACACAAATGACTTTTTCTACACAAATAGTAGATTACCATACATATTGTTTGTACTTTGCTTTCTTGTCTTTTTCATTTAGTATTTGTTGGAAATCTTTCTACACGGCACACTGGCCTCTCTGTCTCTAACAACTTGTGGCGTATATTGCATGAATC